AATTCGATTCGTTAGATTAGACTTTAGAGAAAATAGATGTGGAGGTCCCCAAACATTTACTGGGTTGCATCTTGATCTGTCATCTTCAAAAGATAGCTTTTGACTCTCACTTTCATTTTTGTAGCAGTTGGACTTAGGTCCCTATTGAAGAATTTTAACTTGTCTTCAGTTAATAAGCTGTATTTTAAATGAAAAGACTGTTTCACCTTTCGATGTAAATAAACAAACAGTTAAATGAAAATCAAGAATTAAAAAAAAAAAAAAAATTCTTCTCCCCTCCACACCCATCTCCGATCCAAACCACCTCCAGTCCGTTCGTTGGCTTAGGAAGATTTTATTATTATTATTATTTTACTTTTTTTCATTGACTTTTAATGCATTTATTTGTTTATGTGAATATAAGGGTAAAACTGTTTTTGAGAAAGAAAAAAAAAATAGCTTTACGGATAAAGTTGGTATTAAGAGTTTGTAACTCATTTACATTGTGATGGATCCAAATTCAAATTATGTTCCAATACTAAGATCTAAACAAAATTAGGTACAGTGGTTGTTTTTTGCTTCTTGTGGGTCCCACAGATAGATAAATTTACATTTTTTTGTCGAAAAATGTATTTTGTATTTCTTTTAAATCCCTTCATTGGAGAGATTTTTTATCACTTTAAAGATTTAAATCACAATTTAGATCTAATTTAGAGGATCATTGGAAATGCTCTAAGGGTCCAAGTGCAACTAAGTTACTAAAATGAATTGGAGAAATAAATACTTGGAAATTATTCATAGAAACCGTTGGTAGCACTTGTATGGTAGATTTTCTATCAATATTGGGTCCAAGACCAATGAAAATTGTCAAGTGTTCTTCTATAAAAATTCTGTCAATTTTTTTTGTACTTGTAGTATAATTGTAAATGTTTTCCATTTAAAAAGGGAAAATAAGGCATAACGTACATCAATGTTTGTGGGATCTCTACTACTATTTTCCCTATAATTTATGAAGAAGATCAAATTAAAATAAGTTATTTTACACTTAATTTCCATTTGGTAAACAAATTTATAAATTATATTAAAAGTAAATTATTAATTTTATTCACATATTCATAACGATTACTTATTATCATTCACACGTTTTGTAGAATCCATTAATATTCGTCTTTTTAAATCATTTATAAACATTTCAAATTGTGGTTTAATAACATTTTTCTTTTTCTTTTTTTTTTACCTAATTATGGTTATAAAAGTAACAGATGAATATTGATGATTGATGAATATTTAGTAGGTTTAGGCATTTTAATCGAAATCGAATTTTTCGAATAGAAACCAAAACTAAACCAGAATCGGAGGTTTCGATCCGATTCTCGAAAAAAATAAATTAGTAATCGAAAATTGACTGGGTTCAGCTCGATTCTTGGTTCCTGAACTAGAACCTTGCGTATTGAGTAGAATCGATTTTTACATAATTTTTTATTTACAATTTATAGGTAGAGTTAAAAAAAAAAATTATAAAACCTAAAAGTGCTCTAGTATGCCACGCTTATGGATAATAAAATTTATTAAGAAAAAAATAATTTACTCTCAAATTAAAATTTAACTTTTGAAATTTTAATTTTGTTCTTATTTTCGTGGTTTTTAGCATCCACTGTTTTGTTTCTTGAAGATTTTTAACGGAATTTTCTCTTATATACAAATATTTTTTGAGTAGTAGCATGTTTGGTATGTATTAAAATGACCTATACGAAAATATTTATTAAATTAATAATGATTATGGGTAGAAACTGAAAACTGAACTGGAACTAACAGTTCGAGCTTGAGTTTGGTTCCACCATTTAAAAGGACCCGAATGGTTCCATTTGCAAAATATCCAAAGTATAATGGGTAGTTTCAAGTTTTGAAATTTGCATATGATGAGTTTATGACTCTTATTATGACTCCGTATGTATACGCTCATTACTATGATAAAAAACACCTATCACATTTGATTCTCTCATATTCCTTTATTTATAGCACATTCAAATTGAAGTACATATTAGATGAATAAAAAATCCCGTATTACTTATTCTTTCGAAGGAGCAAAGCCATGGTGAGTTGAATGTAATGGTGATTCAAGCTCCATTGAAGAAGTATTTGTCTACTTGTACATGGATCCCTTCACAAGAGGGGTAATTCTTGTTGCCCCTGAATGAACGAGGAAACAAAAAAATCTTGAATAATTATTAATTAGCCTAGTTTGTATCTCAAGCTAAAAAAATATAAAAAATTATTATATTTATTTTCAATCATATATTCACACAATAAATTATTCTACACGTTAACTCGAAATTTTTCCTCACCTTTAAATCACACATTTTCCAAAAAAAAAAAAATCAGTATTGAAAACAATATATTTTTTCAAAAAAATGGCCACCACACGGGATTAGTCATACTCCTTCATTTGGATAAGATTAATGTCACTTGCCTCACCAAGAACATTTTTCGTTTTCTCTTGGTTGTAATTTATCACAAAATGATAATCTTAAATCCACATAAATTTTTAGAATTTCTATTTTCAGTCCAATATGTAAGAAAATTCGTCCTATTCTCGATTTGATTCTTGTAACCACATCTTGTTTATATTAAATATTATGAAATTAATAAGATAATTGGCGAAATGAAATAAAACAAACAAATACAAGATTTTGTAATTATTTAAAAATTCAATACGCGGAGGGAGGGTATAAATAGTTATAGGAAGAAAGAAACGCATGAAAATTAAAACTGTGGGAGGTGGCTAAAGTGGGCTTTTACGATTGGGAAAGTTGATACAGATGTAAATATATTGATGGCCTGAAATCTGTCGGTAAATTTTTCATAATTCCTTGTAAAATCCACGAAATTTATTGGATTATAAATTTCATTACCTTGTTTGATCAAAATCAATATCGCCTTTCATAATGGTAGCGGATTAATTCCTTAGATTTAAATACGAAAGAATAATATTATTTACAATATCTCACTATTATAATCGTCATACGTGACATATACGTGTCGGTTAATGAGTTGTTACACAAGGTAATAAAAACTACTATATTAATTTATCAAATCACTGAGCGTCATATGTATGATACAAAAAGTGACTATGACGACTACGATAATGAGCGATTGCAAATAGCATCACTCAATACAAAATCTATTACCTTGTTTCTATCACTATCAAATTTATTACCCTTTAAAAGATTTATAAATTGACAGATTTTAAAATATCTGGATTGGAATATATTCAAATCCATGAAATTCATCAAAATTTCAATCGAGGATATCCATTTTATTTGTAATTTGCAGCCACTTCCACGCTATTTTTAAAGATATTGCAGAAATGGTAATGGAAGCCATGTCCATGTAGGACTGTCAAAATGAGCAGGCCCATATTAATGCGACTTAAATTAAGGCATAATGGTTTACATTATTCTTGAGAAAAATGGATGCCGTGGGAGAGATGGGAAATTATGTGAAAAAATGTAAAACAGAAACATAAGTATTTAGTGTCTACATTTTGATATCCTTTTTAAAAAATAAAAAAACCATATTAATATTTAGAAAGGAAGACTTTAGGGTTATTTTAACAATTAAAAAAATTTGAAGTAGATAATTATATTTATACCACGATTTTTTTCCACACATTTTAATTACACTTAAGGTTCTCAATCTTTACTCATTATAGCGTTTATGTCCTTAACGATTTTACATATAATTCTTATACTCGAACTTTCCATTAGTTTAAATATTTTGTATTTAATAACAATTTACATAAAAAAAAGTCCGTTGAAATAGCGTATAATAACTTATTTTCATATCAAGTTTTAAAAAAATAAAAAAGTATAAAAAAATATTTTTCTCTCATTTCAAAGCATGAAATAAAATATTTCAACATAAATTATCATCAAGGACAAGATGTACCGATAAATTGAACGTTAAAGAGAAGAATTAGACGAAAAAATTAAAAAAAATAATTGTTACAACGAACAAATATTAAAGAGATTAATAATAATTAACACAGTGTAATAAATAGAAATTGTGGTGTCAATATAACCGACCTTTTGAAATGTGTAATAAAAGTAGAGTGTTCAATGTAATTTCCACATTTTATCTCTCATCTAGAGTTTACTTTGTAGGCCGAAATTCAGGGTTGTTCTTTTATAATGATATTAATTCAAGAAGGGTATAGGTTATTTGTTTAAACAGCTACATTTTGGATATATTTGACATCTTCAACTCAATAAAATTAAACATCATCGTTTATTTTTTATCTTACTTCTTCAATCTCATTTAATATTATCCAATCCAGCATTATGTAGAGCCAAATCCTTTTAAGCATTGCTTACCACTAGCACTGTCGAAGTGTAATCACATTCGCTCTCCAAACTCTCAGCTCTTAGTTTAGCTACTCGTAAAGAAATACACATGAAGCGATGGGTATTTTGCTAATCAGTGAATGATGAGATATTGTGAGTTGAAGATTAGGGGAAAATTGAATACATGAATTTTGTTGATTTTCCCATTGTTCAATGAAATGTGAAAATGGGACAAATTTAAGTCCTTGTTTGAGCCTATTTTTTCAAAAATTCATTTTTTTTCAGAACTCATTTTAATCACACATTCTCTAATAAAATAATTCTACACGTAAATCGAAAACTTCTTATTTTTAAATTTTTTTTAACCACACAAACTCCAAAAAATAACTATTTACCATGTTTCCACGAGTATACATGCCACAACTAACGCAGAGAAACATAGCATTTCTTAAAAGTCTTTGCACATCTAGGGCCGGAGCCAAATCTAAGATTGAACATTTTATTTTTTTTGGTTTATATCCAATATTATATATTACACTTTACTAGTCGTCTCAACGTGCTCAGAGGTTCTAGTCGACTGACTGTTTCTCTTGCTAGAAAGCAGGTCACTAAATATTTATCCTTCTCCCTAACCTCCAAGCAGAAAATAATAGTGTTTGTCAATGTGGCAATATCCCATGATACCAAAGATAAATATTTAAAGCACTAATCCGGTTCAATAAGGACAACAATCTTCCTATTGATAATTAATTAGGACATGTTTGGTAGACAATACTAGACATAATTTGACATAATAATTTTGGTTTCTTTATCTTCTTCAATACTATCATATGGGTGGTGTCCTAATCCACCTTACTAAACGTACCATTAGTGCATAAGAATGCATGTATCGGATGATGAATAAAATTTAATGTTAAGTAATCGTAAAAGGATGAAATATTGTACTCGATATGGTGGGATTGTCAATTATCTGGCACACCACATTTTCTTTCTCTCCTTCCACCTCCCATGCTTAGTTTGGTAAGTCGCTCTTCATAAGAAGCTGGGAGATTCATGCAATAATGGATATCAAACGTGAGTAATAATGCATGGTACAGTGAATGTATAAAAAGTTAAAAGAAACTGAAGTAGCAATGCAGTTCCATTCTACTTTCAAGCAAATTAAGCAGTAGAGATTCTTGAAAAACAAACAAGGTCGACCTCAAAAATTGAACGTCTTTTGGAGAAATGTGCAAGTTGGTAAGCAAAATGCAATCTGAAATTTGAGAAAAAGCATAGCAATCACAGTTCCTTAGTGCATTAAGGCGTGCAGCGATTGAAATTGCACTATTAACATTTAGAGTACAGGTTTACAAGAAATTGAAACCAACTTTACAAGAATTAGGAAACCATTCCAAATTTTACCGTATGAATTAAGAATGAGAGTTACAGAAGAAGGAAATTATAGAGAACAAGAATCTGACAAATAAATACGTACAATCTCAGAACTAAGGAAGTTAAGAGCTTGTTTGGTAGAGCTTAAAATTCAATTAAAATCAAATATTTGACAGTTATTTCACTATTCCAGCCGTCATTTTTGAATTTTTCTCTCACATGTAAGACTCACTTTATCTCGGTCAAAAAATCAATTATCAAAATCCATACCAAACAA